GGGTTTTCTCCACGTCTGTAACGCCTAAATAGGGGCCAGTTTCCCTTAAAAACACCTCCCAGAAGGCATTCCCCCTAGGCAGATCGCCCAAGTGTTGCATTGCCATAACTTAACAAACTCTTTCCGTAAGGAACAAGAAATTGATCTAAAGTTGATTGTCTTACTCTTTTAATCAAAATTTTTCTCAAATGCGATAGCGCGTTGTCATTTATATTGCGTTGTCGTTTTCTGTTGCCACTATGACTTTTTTCTTTCTTGAATGCCATATTGATTAAATATATAAATCACAAAACTGAAAAAAGAAGTATAGCACAAACACTTGGAAAAGCAATGCTTAACTCGCGCATGCCTAACACCAACTAAAATTTGACACAAAATACTGTTATGTTCGTTATCCGAGACAAAATTTTTGCAAAATAAAAGTTTGTTAACCGATTTGGTCGTTAACCAGGACGTTAATTAACCGGGGTTCCACTGTATATCTTACAGAAATCAGGAAATACTTCAATGTTACTCTCTTTTCTATCTTATGTGGTTCTCCTTGCATGTTTCAAAAGTATTAATGATATTGTTTATCAATTTGTTACAATATCCATGTTGGAGTGACAATTAAGTTCCTTTAAGGTGTCATGCATATTTATGTAATGTGTGAATGCCCTTCTTATTAATGATCTGAAGACAAATAACTTTATTTGAAAGGATCAATTGAAATGTGTGAAATGAAAACAGGATAAATAGATTTCTGATATATTCTGGTATGGATTTCTGTATGGCTTTCTTATTCTAATTGTAGTTTCAGTCTGTACAGATTATTAATTTTTTGGAGAAAGTGTTGCATGTTAGTATGTCACTACTCAAAAAACTGGGTGTGATACTTCAAAATAAACACACTAAAATCAGATATTTTTGGTTTAAATGTATTTTTGTTGCACATTGGGTTTGGTTTGCCTCAATGTGAAGATTTCATCTACTTACCTAGCATACACAACAATTTGGTGCTGGAAAGCTGGTAGTACTGTTTTTCTAAATGCTGCAGGATAAGTTAACATAAAATCTCTGATAGGACTGACCATGGCACACTTAGACCTTGTTTTTATATGAGTTCCAATATGTGATGGTGTTTCTTGTGTGTTGACTTGATGTTGTCCCTAAGTTCTCAGAAGCAAGATGGAAGTTTGATGGACACACAAAATGCATGGAAATTCATCACCATCATATACTCTTAATTGACTAAGAAAACATTTTGTGTGACTCTAATAATTTTAAGGCATTGTTTACAGTGAAGGCATGTTATGTCACTTTGTTGATTATCATGAATTATTTTTCTATTAAAAAAATGAGGGCTGTGCACTTCTCAATAACTGATCATATTTGTGTACCTGGTTTGAGTTTTAGACAAATGCAAATATCCGAGAAATCTTGGGTGAATCACCATTCACTCAAGATTTCTTGAATATTTACATCCAGTTTTTGGTAGTTTTACAGATTTTTCTTGTAGTTGTGCAGTTAAATGTGACATTTTTTATTCTGTCAAAAATTTTTAAACTAAATTTTGTATATAAAAAAAAATAATATATTAGAATATACTCTATTTTGAGCAACTGAAGATCCATTAAACCAGATTGAAAACATTATTGCTGAAGTGTTGTAAGGTATTTGCTTCTCCAGTGCCTGTTGTTTATTGCAGCTCCAAATTTATATTTTTAAATATAGAATCATGCATAAAGTGTTTTGGCATTAAAATATTCATTGAAAGACAGTTTGCATGTGAATCCATATATTAAGTATTATACAATTAGTATCTAGTGCACTCCAAGTCTAGTGTACTTATTATATTTTTAATTGTGGAAACTAAAACAATGCCTGGAACCTTCTTTATATGGACGTCCAGTTAAGTAATTTAAACAAGGATATTTTTACTGTTCTTACGAATCTGTTATGATCAGATGTTTAGAATATGACTTAGTAAGAGGAGCGAATATGCTGATAAGTCAATGTTTTATTTATTATTAATTAATTTATGTAAATGTATAATATTTATCTTTTGCAGCCTCATGAATGTGATGAATGCAGATTTGATGTTTCTGTCAATGACTGTGTTTGGTACCTTCGAGCCGAGAACCCAGATGAAAGGAATAGATGGGTCGAAATTTTGGAAGCACATAAGGTAAAAGAACTTAAAGCTTTTATTTTTTTATTTTTAAACTGTTTCTTTTGAAATAAAGGTTTTAAATTTATTGTAAAAGGTTAAATATTGTCTGTGTTTTAACTTGCATAAAAATTACTATATTTTCTCAATTATAATGTGTTGAATCTAGCACACATCCAATTTTTGACAGGTCTAAACCTGAAAAAAGGTTAGCTTGTGAATGTACTGTGTACCCTATATCATTGAAAATGCTGCTCTGAAAGTTAATGTATTTAAAAAGCACATGTAGAAAAACTGGAAACAAATATAACAATAACACTTATGCACTTAACTTTATGCACTTTTTCAGCAAATGAAAACAGTAATAAATGTACATTTGGAGAATGTTTTATTTTAATGTTTATGGTGTTTCACAATGTCTACACTTATGAATCTATTCATTTACAATGCCATTCTCTCTTATCATTTTATAGTGGATTACCAAATAAGGAAGTGTTTACCAAACTATTAGTTTATTAATACAACTTGAATAATTATAGGTAAATTTCAACTGAGAAAATATCAGTTTATGCTGACCTTGATGAAACTGAAAGAAATTTTGTTAACCCTCCTACCACAAGGCAGTGTCGGATCTGACACATCTTGTTTTTTTTGTTTGCACGGGAAATAACACTAGTGTTGGGGGCTGTGACCATAAATTACCCTATCAGGCAGTAGTTCTCAAGACATCAGCATGGAAAAATAAGTCGTCAACCTTCAATTTTTCTCATAATTTAGGTACTATTAGAGTGCACTCTGCTCCGGTGTCGAATACAACACCTCCTTGTGATGTATGTTATCTTTTTTCATCATGTAGGAAAAGCCAAAAGAGCTATTTCTTGATTATCTACCGTTGTTTGGCAGATTACTATAGCAGAATATCAATGGTTTGCTACAGACGAAGAAATTCATCAAAAATTGTTACGGTAAATCCCAATGGTCGTAATAAGAATTCTTCAAAATTTCTGTATGATGATCTGAAGATGCTTGTTTCTTTTTGTCTGAAGAAAAATAAAACTGTAGTCCTCATATCATCCATGCATTATACAGGCGAAATTGACCAAATCACCCAAAAACCTACCGTAGTTGAATTCTATAATGTGACTAAAGGGGGCGTGGATGTTTTTGATAAGTTATGTCATGCAAAATCTGTCAAAAGAATGACAAATTGCTGGCCTATGCAATACTAATATGGCATTTTAGATGCAGCAGCAATAAATGATGCCTATGCAATCTACAAGCTAAATATGCCACAAGAACATAGAAGCGACACCTGTTGGGCTGAGTTTTTGAAGAAACTTTCTTTTTCACTGGTTGCACCACACATGAAGGAAAGGATGACATATCACCACATTAGTAAAACATTGATAGAAGAAATGTGCAACATCCTAGGAATAGAAATGTCCGAAGATGCACCATCACTAAATCCATCCACATCGGCAAGGCCATGAAAATGTTCCTTTTGTGGATGGAAAAAGAATCAAAGAGGGAATCACCTATGCACCTAGTGCAAGAAAAGTATTTGTGGTGAACACAAAAAAGTGATTTGTCTGTCATGCATATGATTAAATAAATAAAAATAAAAACATATTAGTTTTCAAAACTGCAATGCAGCGTAATAATCGACACTTGGCATAACTCATTCATTTATTTCAGTTTCAGCAAAAACTGAAATAAATGAATGAGTTATGCCAAGTGTTGATTATTACGCTGCATTGTGGTTTTGAAAACTAATATAAAGATACAACACGGTTTCGAAATATGAAAGAAAAATAAAAACATTTGTTCTTAAAAAATAAAATATGTGTTACTAATTAAAAAAATTGTAATTGTAATTTTGTAAGTTTTGTAAATACAGTAATACCCCGAACTTACGCGATAGGTGGGACCAAGTGATAACTGCGTAAGTCGGGGTATAATTTCGCTTATAAATACATACAAATAATTTTTAATTGGGGCTGAAGACTAAAGAAAACAATAATTTAGAAAAAAATGTTTAATAAAATAGATAATACATGTGTAGCCTATAACAAATTATATTATTATACAATTTTTCACATTTACTTGATTATCACACCATAATTTTAACATTGTTTCCATCTCAGTGATAATACCGTGATGTTTACGAATGATGCTTGAATTTAAAGATTGAGCATTTTTTTACAGCTTTGTGAATTTTTTCTTTATCTTTTATAATTGTTCTGACCGTCGATTCCGGTAGATCAAACTTCTTTGCCAATTCACAAATTTTCATTTTTGTATCAAAGTCTTCAATAATGTTAACTTTACATTCCAAAGATAAAGTTTTTCTCTTCTTGTCTGATGCAGAAGAATCAGTTTTACTTCGTTTGGATGACATAGTAGAGTCTCTCGAGTCTCCGTAGATATAACAAACACAGAAATAAATAACACAAAATAAATTGTAGCTATATGTTGATTCCACGCAACATGTCCGAACATGTAAGCTGAACAATAGTGTGGAGGGAATGAGTAATCAAGAGTTGCGTGGTGCTCAAACAAAAGACGAATCGACGAGATTTGAAAATCGCGTAACTCCGGGTTCGCGTAAGTCGGGGTATTACTGTATTGTATAAGCATTAGAATTTTTTTTACATGGTGAACTCAGGATATATATTTTTCTTCCAATTAGAAGTTCAGACTATTTACAAAAAAATTTATTTTTGGGTATAACTGTATACATATTTACTTTAACGTGTATTTATTTATTTAAACCAAATGAACCTGATTTATCGGGAAAAACAGATTTTTTGACTGTGTCATATATTAAAAAAATATATAAAAGTCGTATATGACACAGCCTTGTGACGTGTCCTGATAGTCCACCTTGTGGCAGGAGAGTTAATAAAGTTCTAAGTTTCCAATTTGGAATCAGTGAACCTACAGCTGTAATGATATTTCAAGACTAAAAGATACAACAGTACGATTAAGCCAATTAGGTATATTGTACTAAAACTATAATTAAACGGCTACAAAGGAATACAGTTAAAAAAATAACTTGCCATTGATTAACTTGCATTATTGACCAATTAATAAACCTTTTTTAAAGCATACAAAATTTTCAAATCTTATTTTAAGTAGTTATACAGTACATAATTTGTATGAGATAAATCCAAATATCTCAAAATCAACATGTGGTAACAGTTTAAAAATGTTATTTTTGATGTATTCATCTAATGGATGGGAAATTCCAAATCTTTATTTGTTTTTCTTGATACTTTAAATTTGTTACAATTTCCTATGAATTAAAATAATTTCCAGGCATCATTCATTCACTTGTGTGCCTCTTAATTACAAATAACCAGAAACATGAAGTGGAAGTTCAAGCAAGTCTTTCATACAGAGCATGCTCATGTTTTTGTTTATCCAAGAATACAGTCCATAATTCATTGTCTTTTGGTCTTGTGTACCTTATTAAGAGATCTCCCAATTGGGTATAAATTTCTTCAACTTCCTGTCATCAAATCCCGATATAGCAAGTATACTTGTATAATTATAGTATTGACAGGCAGCATTTTTAATTGTGTCAGTAAATGATGAATCACAATTCTTGCATTCATAAGTGCTGTTTTTCCCCATTTGTCTAGCAGCAATGCTACTTCTCCTTGACCATTGGCACTCCCTGAAGTATTACATCCCGAAATCTGATTTCAACTTCTTCTTTTGACCAGTGGGTTTTGAACAAACTTAGGCACTGTAACTTTACTTCTCTTTTAATAGTTTCTAGTTTTCCTGCTTTAGCATTGTACACACATTCCACATGCCAATATACAAACAAGGTTTTTGATTGTTTCTGACCTGGGGATCTTGCTGTTTTCCCTGCTGAGCTTTGTCATGCTCCAGAATTGCCATTTATTGTTCTGTTTGGTTGTTTCAGCATTGTGATTTCTTGGAAAGATATTATGATGATTTTTCATTGCCTTACACAGTGTAGTTTGTAGCCAGTTATGCAATATTTTGAAGATGATTTATGAACTATTTAAGTTTTCTTAAGATGACAAATGACTGTATTTATAATTCTATAATTATTAGCACAGTCTTAATTTGAAAAGTTTTGTTTACTTCAGTACTTCACTTCAAACTTTCTGTCATTCTAATTTAAGCCACTGTGGATTTGTTTTCATTAAATTATGAAACAATCCTCGAAATTGTTAAGTGTATTATTTTTATACAAGTACAGTTTCACTACTTCTGTACTACATAGTTAATCAAATTGTTTTGAAATAGATGGATTCTGCTTACGGAAGTGAGAATAGTCTCCAGAGACATGGCTCAGCTCTCTCGGTGAATTCCACTAGTCTCTCGGCCACTAGTTTCACTTCTTTCAAAAAAGCAAGAGGGTTGCGAGAAAAGTTGGCACAGATGGAGACATATCAGAGCATTCTTTGTCGTCGGATAGATACATTACAGAGTTATTTTGACACCTGTGCAGAGGCTGTTAATGCTGTTAATGGAAAAGATGATGATGCACGCAGTGAGTATTGTTTATATAACTATAATTTGAAAAATTTTTCGTACATACTTTAAAATTTAACTAAATATAGTGGAAGATACTGATGAAGAGATAGATGAATTCGGTACATCGAGAGATTCGACATTAATTTATGATGATAAAGGTACTTTCAGATCATATTTTTTGTCTGCATATATTCATTTGAGATATCTTTTACATAATTTATTGAATATACTTCATTAGGTGGCCATTCACCAACAATTACTAAACGCTTACAAATTCAGCACGGAGCCCATGCCATCGACTTCAAAGGTGAAGCCATCACTTTCAAAGCAACGACAGCTGGAATGCTTACAACACTATCCCATTGCATTGATTTGATGACTCAAAGAGAAGAAAACTGGAAAAGAAGACTTGAAAGAGTTATTATAATATATTAAATCATACTTGCAACAGTTAGTTTCTACAATTGAAATAAGTTTTTTCATTGATGTAGGAAGTTGAGAAGCGAAAAAAGTTAGAAGAGCATTATCAACAACTTCTTGCAGAAGCAAAAGCACAAAAACCACCTATAGTCTTGGGTGGTCCTGATTATGAGGTGTGTAAGAATGAACTACTTGATTTTGAATTTTAAGAATTTACATTATTATTATTATTATTATTAATTGATTAAAAATAATAAAATTAAATTAAAAAATAATAAAAATATAAATTAATTAAAAAAATGTTATTAAAAATTATGGTTCAACATAATTTTATTTTTTAGGAGGGTCCACACAGTATACTCAATGAAGAAGAATTTTTTGATGCAATTGATGCTGCTCTAGATAAAGAAGAACAAGAGGAGGAAAAGGTTCAGACTTCATTAATTTTATAATTTTTTATAACTAACAAGAAGTAAAATGATGATCATATTACAGAGAAAGTTAAGAAATAAAATTATAGACTCTGTACCTGTTTCACCAACTATTCCTGCAACACAGCATCAGTTATGGCCAGAAATTGAACAGATAACAATGGAACAGTTAAAGTATGCCAAAATGGGTGTTGGAGAGGGAGGATGGCAACTTTTTGCTGAAGATGGAGAGATGAGAATGTACAAAAGAGAAGTGGAAGTAGGTGGGGTAGTCTGTGATCCTTTGAAAGCAGTACACACTGTTCAGGTATGCATTAGGCAGAAAAATTAGTTTGGTTGTGGTTTGAACTTAATCAACACAATTTTTATTACAGGGTGTGACCGGCCATGAAATGTGTCATTATTTTTTCAGCCCAGATGTCCGTTTTGATTGGGAAAGTATGTATTTTATTTTTAAGTAACGACTATACGGTTCTATAGAGAAAATAATACTCTCTCTTTTATCCCTAGCCACATTAGAGACCATGAAAGTCGTTGAAGAAATTGATTCCGACACCTTGATATTCCATCAAGTACATAAAAGAGTTTGGCCTGCAACACAGAGGGATGCACTGTTTTGGTCTCACGTACGTCGGGTACCAAATTCGGAAGATCAAGACGCTCACGACATATGGATCGTGTGCAACAATTCGGCAGACGTTCCACCTATTCCCGTAAGTGTAATTCTTGAAAGTTAAGGGTCTATCATCTGTCTCTCAATCCCCGTTTGCATTCCGTTTACAGGTCGGAAAATGCGTCCGCGTGAAACTCACCGTGTGCCTCGTTTGTCAAACTTACGTCGATCCGCCCACAGAAGATAGCAAGATCACTCGTGAAAATTTGAATTGCAAAATTACTTACTGTTCTATTAGTAAGTGTTGTCATAAAATAGATTGTGTTGTTAATTAATGATACATATCTAACCAAATTTTTACAATTGTAGTTAATCCTGGAGGCTGGGCTCCGTCGTCGGTCTTGCGTGCCGTCTACAAACGTGAATATCCAAAGTTCCTTAAACGTTTCACACAGTACGTCAAAGACATGACAGAAAATAAGGCCATCATGTTCTGACCAAGCATCCCATAACATAAACAAACGATTAGTAGAGTTGTAACACTGCTAATCACACATACGGATGTGTATAAATATTGTTTATATATATATTATACATGTATATATATATATAAGCATACTATTTCAGTCAGATGCTGTGATGTGGACATTTTGATACTGTAATCCCGAAATTATATATGAAAAATATTCAAGTACAAATACATATATTAAATACGCTTTAAACACCAAACAAACAAAAGTTTTATCGGCTAAAGATATTCGACTTCTATTATCGTGCGAAGCATCGCAGAACCGATGTAAATATTTTTTGAACAGAGTAAAAAACAAGAAAAAAATATCATATTCTTTTGTACAGAATCATTCTGTAATTTTTGAATAAATCATAAAGTAGCTGAATTTTATCAAAACTGAGAATTTTTTTTTGTAAAATTTTCCTCAAATTTGAGTTAGAACACGTGGCTTCGCCAATAGTGATGATTTTCTAAATATCTGATTTTCGTCATTGGTTTCTTTTATGCAAGGTAGAATTTGTAAATATATAAAAACAATCTGTGTTTTTGATTACCAGTAGGTCTTTATTAACTGTTTCTTAACTGCAACGATACTAAAAAATAATAAAAAATATTGTCACGTTAGCCATTTTGACATGCCCCTTGTTGTTCTTACAAAGTTGGTCATGTTACTTCAATCTGTTTTGATCAAAGAAGAAAAAATGTTGAGATAATGTATAAAAATATCAGTTTGTATGCAGAATAAAAATTTTACAGGTTTTGGAATGAATGTATTAATGAATTTTTTATTTTTTTGTTTTTGTTTGAGATCTTAAAATATTAAATGGTGAAAATTTAAATAAGGTGTTCAAGTGAAATTTTATTTTTTGTGCTAAATATAGACATCAAAATTTTTGTAATAAATTCTTTGTAATATCATTTGAATAATGTTTTACAATTTGATAAGAAACACTAGGAAGACTGTTTAACCTCAGAATAACAATAATTGGTTGTACAAGGTCTGTTCAAAAAGTATCGGACCTTTGGTCGGCAAAAATAAATTTATTGACTTTGAGGTACAAAACCCTAATCCCCTTCAAAGTAGTCTCCTTGGTAATGTATACACTTCTCCCAGCGTTCCTGCCATTGCTGGAAACACTGCTGGAACGCATCTTTTGGAATGGTTATCAGCCGGTCCGTCGCATTTCGCACGATGTCTTCTCTCGACTAAATTTGGGTTCCTTTTAGCGCCATTTTCAGCTTGAGAAATAGCCAAAGGTCACACGGAGCCATGTGGAGAGAGTACGGAGCGTGACGAACCACAGGAGTATTGTGTTTGGCGACGAAAGCCCGAATCAGATGCGCAGAATGGGCGGATGCGTTATCACGATGGAGCTGCCAAGTTTTGTTCGACCACAGATCCCATCGTTTGCGTCGCACTGTATCGGAAAGACGACGAAGGACCTCCTGGTAGTACTCCTTTGGGATGGTTTGGCCTTGTGGTGCGTACTCACGACACACCACCCCACGAGAGTCGAAAAAACTGTCAACATGACCTTTGATATTGCTGCGGACCTGCCGTGCTTTTTTTGGCCTCGAGGATCGTCCCCGAAAGCCTGCTGAATCTTGCGAATGGTTTACACTCGGGTATCGCCAAGGTTTTTGGCAAAATTTGATGTAATATCGCTGCTCACGTTGTTCAGTCATTTTCCAGCTTAGTGAAATCCGACGAGAGCGCACTACATGACCTCACTCATACGCCGATTGCCAACGACTGACGCTTTCTGCAGGCGGGAAAAAATTCAGGGCTGTGCATGACTGTCCCCTCCACAACTCCACCGAAGGAGGCGTCTCTCGCATCATTGGTTTACGCGGAAAAAAATAAGGTCCGATACTTTTTGAACAGACCTTGTATATCAGGAGTTAAAATTGTGCTGATTCAAATTGAGCTAGATTGTGATTGATAAGGTTTCTATTTTTATAAAATTGGTTTGCCAAAAGATACTCTGTGTTTTAAAATTGGACACATTAAATGTTGAAAAATAAAATAATTTATTTTGATCACGGATGGTCTTAGATCAAATGTCAAAGTGTATTTTTTACATAAAAGTTTTCCTATATCCGGTACCATTTGCAAGACAAAGTCTGAATCGTCAGAGCATTGACTTTGACCTGGTCATTCCCAAAATTAAAGACCATAAATCTGGGCTGTAGAGGATTTCAAATAACCTCAAGTCTGTTTTTTTTCTTATGACAATCTTGCATTATTGTAGCACAAGAAAAAGGCAGTTCTTTTGGGCCTTAGCCCTCTATAGAGATACAAAATTCAATTGCCAATCATGGATTTATATGGAAAGAGGAAGAAGAGATTCTCTGTTGCAACAGAATGTACATGCAAAGTTTTGTTTCTGAGTAGATACCCAAGGCTACTAAACAATGACAGTTGATCTTTGTAAACTAATTTTTAAGCATTTGTGCAAAATATGAGGCATCTGTCAATACTAATTTAACTAATTAGTATTGACAGATGCCTTATATTGCCATCATGCCCACATCCAAAAAATGGACTGTTGTGTTGCTATGCTGTTCAACCTTTAGGGTAAGAACACCGTGTGTGTGTGTGTGTGTACAGTACATATGGATGGTTTTACCCTAAAGATTGAACAGCATAGCACCACAACAGTCCATTTGCTAGATATTAAAATTGAATTTAAAGGAGGAGTCATACATACAAACTTATAAACTGGAATATATTCCTTTATTCATTCTGGCCCGCTCAAATATCTTTTTTGGTATAAATCAACTGCTTTTAGATATTTAATTAGGAGGGAGTTTATCCATTGCACCAATATTGAGGATACGATTGCAGAGCTTAAGCACACAAAGAGAATAGTGACAACACTCAATAAAACTTATCTATATTTTTTTGCTATATGAGGCAGCACAGTATACTAAATATTGCAAAATGATAAAGACACTATAGATTGGACCAGGGGTCCTGGAATTCATGGCATACCTTTAACGGATGACAGATTTGGAAAGGATTTAATATACATAGGAACCCCAAACTGATCTCTTAATAGCAGGATTAAAGAACACAGATATATTGAAAAAGGGAAACAAACAATTCTTTTCATATATGCCTCAGGACCAGGAATTAAAGCTAAACTAGATGAAGTGTTTTAATTAATGAAGAAACTAAACTTTTGGAGATAATACAGATATTTAAAACAGAATTGACAGAAGAATGCATTAATATAAAAGATGCAGAAGCATTATCAAATGCACGGAAAGTGTTTTATGATGATCCAAAGAAAGTTTATTATAACTGGATTGAATGATGGGGTATTAATATAAAATTATGTAAAATATATTTGTTGTAAAGTTTAAATTGCATAAATTTCAAAAGTAGTTTAAATTTAGTTCAAATGTAATAAACTATGAAATGAGCATTCTAAATGGAACACATAGGTAACCAACCCGAAGCAGGGCAGTCGAGTTGTTTGTAATGTACAACTGGAATAAAGTAAAGGTCTGATTATTATTTATACATTTTTTCCAGTTTGAATTAGCTTTCCTTTTTTATTGTGGTCAATGCTGGTGCAATTACTAAAAAGATCAAACAAAAAAATTCCTTCTAATTCTCATTTTGAAAAATACAAAACCATGAACAACAAACACTTTTAATGTGGCAATTGCATTGTCCCTTAATTGCAAGGATCGGAGTCTCAATTTAACATGGCATAATGCGAGATTGGATCAAATGACAGACATCTGGGGTAATTTTGCAAGGATGGAAAACAGAAGCTCATGCATTGTCTGATTTTTTAAAAATTTTGTCTCGGTCACACCCTCACACAAAAATCTGAGCTTATCTCTCACTCCACTGCATTGCTCACCACAACGGACGTCACAGAGTTCTGTTTGCTTTCTGCGGTCTAGAATGAAGCATGGCAGGATTGTGCTTTCGTGCATGACAAATAGATTCATCAACACCGGTTATGTTAAAGTGACAGACTGCACTTCTGACTTTTGATGCATGGAGAACTATTGAATACTCCGATTTTTATATAATTTTCACAGGTGGTACTTCAAATATGAAATAATATGCAAAGCAAAATTTTATCAGGTAACATTTTACACACAAAGGTTAAAATGATTGTCTGTTCATTAACTTGGAATGGGGCATAAATTTGTAAGTTAATTGTAAAAATATGCTCTATCCCAAATAGTGTCAGCAAGACTATTATAATTTGTTACTCAACTGTCTGATTTAATATCCTATAGTTATCATTAAATGGTGGATGTATATTAAACTAACATAAAATACATGGGTTAATTATAAAGAATTTATTAATCTAACTCAATACAAAACAAACAAACTAAAAATTATATCACTACTCTGACATACATATGTCTAAATAGGAAACAGATTTCTTTGGATGTCAATGATATCCTGTAAAAAAATAGTGCCGATGATATTAAAGTAATCTTTGACAACTATGATTTTCACCATGTTTATGTCAGTTTGCAAGATTAAAATTAATTCTTAAATACACATTCCAAGAAAAATAAGATGTTATTCAGATTTTACTCGTAAAAACATTGTCAAAGAATAATTTAATAATAATAATAACAGATCACCACAATTTGTTGCAGAAATAATGGCTGCAATATCAATAAAAACAAAACAAAATATCGGTTCAAATTGACAAATGATTGTGGGAAGACACCATTTAGTTCACACAATTTATGTATTGTTTCAAAACTGAAAAAAAAATTTAAAAAAAGACTTTATGAATTTTTACATTATCACTAGGTCTTTTGAATTTGTCTATGAAAAAAATTAATAAATCCGACATACAGAGTGATGAAAAATTATTATTTAAAAAAGGGTGAAATTTCTTTGTACACTAAATAAAATTTTATGGCTATATTACTACCGGCATCACTGCCACATGCTTGCGTAGTTTCCCTGAAGGCTGGCAGGTAGAGGGCCACCCGCCGTAAACAGTCTTGTCCCCGAAGCATCATAACAGTGAGTGTAGATGGCAGGATTGTACTCTAGACTGAAGAACACCTCTCGATAATTTTCGTCCGGATACTGCAATTAAATCAAAGACTAGCATTACTACCAAGAATTGGCTGCTGCTACAATTAAATAACTTACCACCCATCCCCGGGTCGCTCTCAGCACGGCTGGGCGGCTTCCGCCCGAGTCTTCCAGGTAACGCCCCGCCCTGACGTCATAAAACATCAGGATGCCGATTCCGGTTCCGACGGTCAGGAGATCTCCAGAAAAACTCAATGACCTCACGCCACAACCCTGATACTTGGCCGTGATTTTCTGGACAGGTTCCAGAGTCTGAACATCCAGAAGAGTGATGTGAGAGCGTGATCCGACGGCATAGAGTTTGTGTTCGTAATTTTGAGTCATGCAAACTGTTTCTTGAAAGAATGGAAGTTTGCAGGAAAATTTCTGTTAAGCATTAATGAAGCATTTTATTTTTAAATTAATTAATTTGTAATTAAAAAAAAAAAAAAATTTACCTGATGGAATGACTGTAGATCCCAGAGATGCAGAAATCCATTCAATGACAGTGCTACTAAAATCTAAACAAAATTTTCCATTAGAATTACATAATTAGGATTTAATCAAATAATGTAATTAGAAAATATAATCTATTTATTCCATAATCTCAAAGTCTAGTGGACATATTGTAATATTTCAATTTAACAACAAAATACGGTAGCTAGCCCCTCGTTATATTGTGCAAAATAGCTCGTTTGGTTTGTATTTATACATCAGATGGCATTATATAACTGCTATATCTATCCATTACTGGCTAGACCACTTATATTTGGAATACAAAAAACAAAAACAAGATATATACAAATAAGTAATATAAAAAGAGGCTACTATATATTGCTAACTAAGACAAGTTTAAGAGGATTCCAAAGAATTTGGGATAATCATATCCTTCATATCTGTTAAATCATAACATAGTTTTTGGCTGCTTAGACAAATGACGGTAAGATATGGTTCAAATTAATTATAGTTGCCATATAATAATCTGCTGTATAAAATGGATATTTTAAAAGGGAAAAGGTTTTATTTATTTTCATCAAGACACTCAAACTATCACAAAATTCATAATTAAAATACCCCATTTTCTATGCAGTGTAGAGGGAGTTTTGGAAAGATGTGGAAGGCATTTCCATAAAAACCAAAACTTGCCACTATGGCACTTTTGGTGCTGCAAGTGAACATTTTATTTGTACAAGTCACCTGTGCTAGACAAAGCTTTAGTAATGCAGGGGATAGTGCCAAATGTAATTCCCTTTTGAAGGTGTAAATACCAAAGGCGATAAACTCTGTCTGAACACTGACTGTAATTGATTCTGCTTGATAGTCTTTTGAGGATGCCAAATTTAAAAAGTGTGTTTTATTGAGCTTTATAAGTGTCTCCACAATGAAAATCACTTGGATTAAGATCTGGAGAATAAGGTAGCCAGGGGAGAGGTATGTCTAATCACTGTTATCAATAAAATCTTGTCACAAACAGTTGTATGAAGTATCCAATAAGTGGAGGTTCTCTGTGTTTTACAAAGGTGATCGACTCGAGGCATTTGTTGTATCCCGACTAATATGGCACCAAGTGTTGATCATCTCTTGGTATTCTGGATGTCGAGGCCCATTGTTGTTACTAGCTTCTTTGAAGAATGGTCCAAGGACAAATGTGGCTGTAATACCATATCAGACAATCACATCAAAGCCAAACAATTACCAGATTAAATCATGCTAATTCCTACTATTAATAGTTATTAAATATTGAGTAATTTGGCACTAGAGGCATTAGGTGCCATCTTGTATTAAATTTAATAATTAAATTAACATTTATTAGTTTTAAAATTTTTGGCCTGGAATGTGTCTCAAACCTGCAACTGTTGCTTACCATGTGGATACATTGCCAGTTATGCTACTCAGACTTGTCCAAATTTCTGCTTCCAAACATATTTAATTTTGAAATAACTGTACTAGTTACTCATGGTGCCTGTAATCACCCACCACGGCACTTGGCTGACTATCATTTTACCGTGGCACGGTGTATATATACGTATAGACAATATTGGTGGAAGTTTCCATCGTGCACGTTCAGCTGTAGTAGATGCAAAAATACCTTTGGTAAAGAGGCAGCTTATAGTGTTACTAAGCATAGTTAGTTGCTATGGTGTTATGGATTTTATATTGATCAATTTTTATATTGAAAATGCCCTCTTGCTCAGCTTTTGTTTGCAAACGCACTCAGAAACAAATTTAACAACTCATATTAAGTTCTAATATTTCCCAAGCAATCCATGGATGCTTGGGAATTAAACGTAAGGACTGGACTCCTAATAAACACAGTAGAATATGTAGTCTACATTTATCATCAGGTTAGTTATTACTACTATTTTAAATGTAAAATTTGTTGATATATATATAAATATCAAAACATCCAAAATTTAAATATAACCTTATAAGCTATCTTCATTTATTTACATTTTGGTTCAGTTTTCTATATTTATAATTTTCATAAACAATACAAAATTTCAAGGAAAACAAATACTGTATGTGTATACACACACACATTTGTTTTCCTTGAAATACACACACACAATGGTAAATGGGACCTACAACCTGACCAAAAAATAAAATCATGTACCTGGCTAGAAAAGTTTAGATATAAAATAATCTCCATCTACTATATTTACATGCATATTTTACATGAATATAATACATGATAATATTAGGTAAAATATTAAAAACAAATAGCATAGGCTTAGGTCAAAAACAAATAGCATAGGTCATTTGTCAAGAGTCTGAATACATGTAAAAAAAGTCATTTGTAAAATGAAGGGATACAAAATATTGCAAACAAGATTACCAATATCACCGCTGAAAACACCTTCTGATCATGATTTTTGTTCAGGCAACAAACTTCTTGTATCTTTGCACAATCTTACTAACCCAACTGTATCAAATTAAAATAAATTTAAAAAATACTGAAATTATATGTATTGTATGTGTTTTATGAATAACACATTTCAATATGCATTAAAAGTGGGATTTTTACACAAATTTATTATATTAGTTCCATGTTACAAAACGTTTTAGCATAACCTACTAAAAAATTAAATGTATGTGATGCATAACTTTGATTTCACAATATGTTTTAAAACTTGTAAAGTAAACACAATAGCCTTGTATTAGTATAGAAAATACTTATTGTTATTATATCTGATGAAATTATTACCGAGAGTGTAGAAATGAAGCTTTATCACTACCAATATTGGGTACGTTCGTAAAGTCAAACGAGAATGACGTCATCGTTATTCTTATTTCATTAGACTTTTTGAACGATTCGTTTATAACTAAATGGATGTTTCTAAAATCGAAGATATGAATTTTGCTAGTGCAGCCTTATCCAAAATATTTTTCTTAGATTGCTTCAAATGGACAGTTATTTCAATCATTTCACCTTTTCATTCACAATTTAAAAACTCGAGTAGATTTAGAAACATCGATATCGTCGGGCACCATTTTCTTAACAAAGTGAACTAACTCTTTCCTTCGTGAACTTTGTTAGAGTTTTGTTCGAAACGTCATCACCACAAAGCATGCACACTGAGCGAGACTACTATTTTTCGAACGATTCATTACTAACACGTTTGACTTTACGAATGTACCCATTATTATTGTCATACAGATTTTAATTTAATCAATTTGTGACAACACACATTCTTTGTGAAAATATTTTAATTTAGATAGCATCGAATTACAAAAGTGCTCATCAAATGTAACATAATTTTCACACTTTGTTATCCAGAGTACTGGTTACCAAAAGAAATTATCGTTATCTAATCATTTGTTCCTGCAGCTGATAGTAATACTTATGATTAGTTTTTAGGTTTGATTTTTCATCCCAACAATACTTTGTGCCTTTTACTATTGAATTTAGATCATCATTTCTGTATTGAAATGGACACTTTATCAATACAGGCATACCTCGACTTACGTCGTTTCGAGTTACATCGTTCCCGATTATACGTTGTTTGTCAAAAAAGTACACGGAAAAATAAAAATCAAGTTTAAGTCATTTTATTCGACTTTACGTCCATCCGCCACAAATATTGAAGTCGTAATATCACTAGAAAAGCATTTAAAGCACATAAAATCATATTAAAATATATACATTTCCAAGTATGTACTGTATTTACAGTACAGTACATGCATTCGTAAATTTAGATTACTTTTTTCTGTACTCTATTAAAAACTAAAATTTATTTGTTTGTAAGCTTAAAATAGATTCTTATTAACCATATATTATTAAAAATGCATTAATAAATAAAATACAGAACTGGGAATAGTAATTTATGGTTTAGCCTAGTGACAAGTAGATTCGGAGACAAGTAAATTCGACTTACGTTGTTTTTCGACTTAAGTCGTTTTCCTGGAACCAATTACCGACGTAAGGCGAGGTATACCTGTATAGTAAAAAATTGATTTTCCTTTCAGGTTTATATAGCTTCTCAAAAAACATTCTTTGTAAAACTAGCCTTTCTTGGATCCATTGACATAACTGAGAAGTATGATCCAATGTCTTGATGATGACTATTTTTATTTTTATACATCATTAGAAACTGTCAGCCAACAAAAGATATCCACCCCAACAATGAATTACAGTTAAAACCAAAAAACAACACAGTAAAAAATATGATTTAATGCAATGTGTTAATGCATTAATGTATGACAATAATAGCAGTATGACTGCATACCTCTCCAATTCTGTAATAATACAGTATAATATATTTAAAAAATAACTTGATTCTCTCATACGAAAGCTTTCTACCAATAAAATGTATGTTCCATTTGTATTAAATAGAAATTATAATTCAGTTTAACAATAATTTCAGATATTGTATTTCTGTTTTTATTTATCTGATTAGATATCAATTTTCTGTTTCTGTTTTATTTGAAATTATTATATTGAAATTACTTTTTTAATGTATTCTAAGTTAAAATAAACATTAAAATGCATTTTATTCATAACAAAACTTCCTGATCTTAGTAACATTTCTCAAGACAATTCATTAAGAATACAAAAATATGTATTCTGTAATAATGGCATTACAAATCCAACCGCAAGGAGTGCCAGGTAATCAGTAGTAGCGGAATGTAGCTTGATTTTAACCTGGTAATCATTTGGCTTTAATCCATACCAGACTAATTTTATGCAAATATGTGGAATCTGCTGGAAAACATGCAGGTTTTACGGTTGTTCACTGTTCTTCCAGGGTAAAATTGTGTCTAGTGACTCCACATGATCTTCTATAGTAGTAAGGAAGGTCAATGCACAAAGCAATGCCAGTTGAATTTCCTGTTGATGGCAAGCAATTACTGGTTGTGACAGATCTTATAAAGATGGCAATGCACTAACTTTCTTAGTACAGTACCTTCTACACTGTTTACAGGATATACACAATTACTGTGACAGTGTACATGTATTACTACAGTCTGCAACATTATTCATTGACTGTTCAACAATATTTATATCAGTGAATGGTTGTCT